GGGCGGAGCGGGGGGTGGGGGCGAGGAAGACCAAGTTGGCGGCGGGGATTGGCCGGCGGAGGGGGCGGGGCCAAGTCTGCAGGAATCCGCAGCTATGGCCGCCGCCGCCCGCGCCCGGGTAGCTCACTTACTGAGACAATTGCAGCGCGCATCGTGAGTGCTGGGCCCGGCGGGCGGGCGGGAGCCCGGAGGGTGCCACCATAGCCACGCAGTACATCAGCGAGTAATCCCCAGCGTTCCTCCCGTTACTTTCACAAACTTGGGGAAGGAGGTAACAGTAATGCATGCCCGCGAGGTCCCGGGGCCGCGCGCCTGGCAGGACAGTATTGTGCAGTGTGCTGTGCCACCGGGATCCACGCAGTGAGACAGGTTTTTACTCTTCCACGGTTAAGTAAACTAAGGCCCAGAGAGGACAGTCCCTGCCCCACGTCGTGCAGGCAGTGGAGGGTTTGGGAGAATGACCAAGACAAATTAATGAATCCGATCAACTCATTCGCGCTGGGAAAACAAAGATGAAATCCTCTGGAACAGTAATAAAGCGTGGTAGGGAATCGAATAGGGGGTGGGTTTAAAATGAGCGTTCAGAGGGTGTAGAACTGAAAAATGGACGGGAGAAGTCGCCAGAGGCTCCACTCCGAGATCTGCAGGGAGTAAGGATATTAAATGTTATGATATGTCTGACTGCCCCTCTGAAATGCCAGGCATGTAGCAACTGAGAGACACTTCTTGAGTGTGAAGAGCACAAGTTGACCCGGGAAAACTTGGAAATTTTTGAACAGCTGGAGATTAATAGAAAAGGACTAGAGAGGAATTTCAGACAAAGGGAAGAGTCACACCAAAAGCAAGAGATGTAATTACAGGATCTGAAAGTCTGGGCCTAGTTGCATAGAAGGAGGTGAAGATGGAGAAGAAAATCAAAGATCCCCAATAGTGGTGGGTGTGGTGTGATAACATACACCTGAAAGTGTGATCTTATACCTCTGAATCATATACAATGTTATAAATCAATGTTATCTCAATAAAAGGAATTAATCAGAGTGTAAACATTACTATCAGTGAATTGTATGAATGTCAATATCCTTGTGATAGTTTATTAAAATTTTGAATAATGGTGCTAATGAAAGAAACTGGTTAAGGAGTACATGTGATCTATCTGTATTTTGTACAAGGACCCAAAATAAATTTTTTAAAAATAAATATAATAAAAAACTGAGACCACCAATATGAAAATAACAGCACTTATTGGGCACTTCATGGACCCAGGCACTATCCCTAAATGCTTTACATGTACTATTAATAACTCTAATCCTTTCATAAATCAACCCTGTATTATTATCCTCATATTACAAATAAGGTATAGGGAAAAATAATTTGTCACACTGCTAAGTAAATGTATACTGCCATAATTTGAGCCCAGATATTCTGCCTTCAGAGTGCTATTCTCACTCCTATGCTAAAGAAATATTAATAGTATAAATAATGGGATGTTATTGAAGCATTAGTTCTCACAATGAAAAAATAATACTTTGAGATGCCCCATCACAAAAGAAAAGTCTGAGAAACTGCTCACTGCTATGTGACTCTTGGAGAGGTTGTACATTAGAACATGAAGGCCCTGAGAAGTCCTGCAGGTACAAAAGCTTAGCTATTTTTAAACTCTTTGCTCTAAACCTGTGTCACTGTGAAACTCTTTATCAAGCAACACCATTCATATACTTTGGAACCAGTGTCACATGGAACAAGTTTTGCGAATGGTTGTATGACAAGGGAGTATGGCATGATCTTAATATTGGAACTTCGTAGTGGCAGAGGAGGAGAAAGACTAGTATTACTAGTGCTCTAGCTAAAAGGTGATGGTTTCAGACTTCTAAGAGAGGCAGTCTGTGTAAGAGGTAAAACAAGAAATATTGAAGCATTGGTTAGAATCAGCAGGATTTCATATCTGATTAATGAGACAGACAAGAAGCTGAGGGTTTTGCTAGGGGAGCAAGTTAACAGTTGAGCCATTTCCCGAGATAGTAGGAAGGTTAGCTTTGTGTAATAATTTCAGTCTAGGTTATTTTGAGATGCAAATGACTCATACACCCATACACCCAAGCAGAGACCAAGGCACTCCCCACCTTCCCCCACTAAAAAAAAAAAAAAAAAAAAAAAAAAAAAAAAAAAAACACAGGTAATTAAATTTATTATTCTGGAATTCTGAGCAATGTGTATAGAGGGAAATTGATATCATGAGTGTGAAAGCAAAGGCCTTGGCAAACTAAACCTGGAAACATAAGGGCAAGAATAAAGTCCTGGGGAACCACACAATTACAGCAGGAATAGCAGTGGTGCTTTTTAGTTCTGTACACATTTACTTTTTCATTAGGTCAGCATTTCAAAAGCAGGAAGAGTTCAGATAAAAATCTTAAAAACTGGCATCTTAAAAAATGGCATCATGGGGCCCACCTTCTGTCTAGGGAAAGTCTGCCAGGGCTGAGGTGAGGCTGTCATCTCCTTTGAGCAAGGCAAGCCCCCACCCCACCCCCACCCCCCACACTGCACAGCAGCTCTGGTCTCTCATTTATATTGCCTGCTGGTCTCCTTGGGCGTTTGGATTCGCAAATGATTTGCACTTTTGAATGGAAGAAAAGAAACCTGCAGTGGAGGGTAGGATATGAGGCCAAAGAGGTAAGGATAAACCCAGGAGGGGAGGACTGCACTTTGCAGATTTGAAGTTTTCTTACCTCCATGCTTCAGTAAGAGACAAGACAGTTTAACATCTTTGGCACCTAAGTGTGTGGGGGTAGCACATAGGACAGGCAATAAACTAGTAAGGAAAAATAGTCTACATTAGATGGTGATAGATAATAAAGAAAAAGTAAAGGGGGATGGAATTGGAAGGAGGGGGTGCTATTTTAGAGAAGATGGTCTGAGAAGACCTCACTATAATGTTTTTCTATCGCTGCTGTAACAAATGACCAAAACGTCATAGCTTAAAACAATATACATTTGTTTATTTACAGTTCTGAAATTCAGAAGTCCAAAGTCAAGGTCTGGTTTTGGACCCTAGAGCCTCAGAAGCTCTAGGGGAGAGATCATTTTCCAGCTTTTGTGGCTGCACTCCTTGCATTCTTTGGCCAGTGGCCCTTCTCTACCAGTAACATAGCATCTTGCTTCAGTGACTACAGTGCTTTTTATGTCAGATGTCCCTACCTCCTTGGATGTTTATGATTCTTTTTAACCCTTTCCTCCAAGATCATCCAGGAAAATATGTCCATGTCAAAATCCTTAAGATCACATCTACAGAGCCTGCCTTTCTGTGTCTACTAATGTTTAAAGGTTCTAGGTACTTAGGACCTGAAGATCTTCAGGGCTCAGTTTACCACTTTTACTAAGAAGGTAAGCACTTTGAGGAGACCAGTGGAGGGAAGGAGTGAACTATATGGCTCTCTGGGGTGATATCTGGGGGTGGAATATGCCTGGCTATAGCAGAGTGTGAGCTCAAGAGGGATGAGGGATGAAGTCAGAGACACCAGGAGCCAGGTAGAAACAGCCAAGAGACACCAAGGTTTTTTGGCATAAACAACTGAGAGGATAAAGTTGCCATTAAACTGGAATAAGAAATTGAGTCTTAGTGGGAAACTGTGAAGATGCCTGGTAGACATGCAAGCAGAGGCATCAAGTAGACATCTTTCCTGAACTCCAGGAAAGATGACTAAACTAGAAAGATTAATGTGGATGCATTAAGATACTCTATTCTAAGCATAGAAGATATTCAAGCTCATAAGTCAAAAGAGGACGCTCCAAGTGAGTAAAAGGAGTGAAAGGAGAAGGGTGAAAGGAGAAGGGTGCACAGACCAAATGAGTGAGAGCACCTGCATCCAGCATCCAGAGTATGAAAAGAAACTACCAGGAGTGGCCAGTGCAGTAGGAAGAAAGCCTGAATATGTTGTCTTGACAGTCAAGGAGAGAAAGTTTCCAGGGGAGAAGGAGTGGGCAGGAGGATGGCACTGACAGCTTGGGTAAGAAGAGGATTAAAATGAGTTTATTTGCACAGTGGGGGGCCTTGGTGACCTGATGAGGTTCCAGAGAGAATATAGGAAGAGAAATTGGAGAGAGCAGATGTAGTCAGCTGAAAGGAGGGAGAGAGGCAGAAGCTTTGGCCAAAGGAGGGAACAGGGACAGGGAAGGTTGTTTAGTCTTGTTTTTTGACAAAAAGTGGGAAAATAACACTTTTGTGCTGATGTAAGATGTAATAGGGAAATTTTGATGAGAAGATGAGCAGGGGTGAACTTTAGAGCATAGAGAAAGGGTTAGCCTTTGCTAAGGGCCTGGCCAATTTATCAGTGATACCAAGAATGAAGCCAGAAAAATTGAACCAGAACCCAATGGTGGGTAGATGAAGACATCACTCTAAGAGTTATTTATTCTGCTGATGAACCATCATCAGGGTTTAGGTCATCACTAGAAGTTGGTGGAGGCCCAACCTGTTCACCCTAGTCCAGGTCAGACTCCTTGTCTTTAGCACATCAGGAAAAGAGAACAAAGTGAGGGGATTTCAAATGTCTACATTCATTTCATTTAAACAGTATTTAGAGCTTGCTATGTGCCTGTCACAATGCGACCCAAGGCTAGCAAACTTGCAAGAAGAGGCAGATCTTACCTTGCCATTACAAAATGTACAATCCAAAGGCAATTGGAAACAGGAAATGGCATCAACTATACGGTATGATAGCAGCTTCACCGTTACCACCTTCCCTGGAGGGAGGCATGGTACTTCGAGACACAAAGAGAGGGTGCTTGTTCCAGGGAAGACTGCCCTTAGGAAGTGATGTCCAAGCTAATATAAGAAGAGACACCAGTCGTTTGGAAGAAGAGAGAGGAATGTATATTTTAGACAGAAGGGGAATATAGGAAGAAAGTTCTGGAGTCAAGATGGAGAAATAACATGTATGGCCCATTCAAGGAAAGAAATGAAGATAATTTTCTAGGAGCCCTGCAGATGGAATAAGATAAGACATGAGGCTGAGTTGATTAGTAAGAACTGTGAAACAATGGCCAGGTCTGAACTTTATCCTATGGGCCTGAACAGCAAGTACTTTCAAACAAGGAAGTATCGATGGAAATGCCTACAACAAGTTTGGGGAACAGATAAAACAAAGGTAGACCATGAAAAGTCTCTTAGGAACTCAATAGTAATCCAGTAAAAGATGAACCCTTATGAGAGAGTGGTGGAAGTCCAAGCAAAGTGGAGAAATACTTGGGGCCTTGATATATGGTTGGTTGTAAAGGGCAAGGAGGGTCAGAATGGCTGAAAGCAACCCAGCATCTGAAGGACACAAAGCAACATTTCAGGGGTGATCTGAGTGAAAAAGGAGCACGCAAAATAAACTATAGTGGAAATCCAGGTAAATCAGGAGCCCAAGAACACAGGTTGATGCTGGTTACAGTGTTCAGTACTATGAGAACAAGGTGCCAAGAGGTCTGAGAAGTGAGGATACACAAAGAAAGTTGAAACTTATATAGGCAGCATCCAGATTTCAGGAAACCAAGGAAAAATGTATGGGAGGCAAAGAAATGAAGCCAGTTAATGTCTTCAGGGGGGAAGAAGCAGAAGATGAGCAAGGAAGGGGACAAAAGGTTGAGAGCTTCAAGCACGAACCTCTTCAATCTAATAATTGATCCAATGAAAGGGAAGACTAAATACAAGACAGATGGATATAAAGAAGATTAAAAAAGAGGACTCAAACCACAGTTAAGAAAGAATAGAAATCATGAACTGAGGTAGCATCAGAACTAGGGGGAAAAAAAAAGAAAGGGAAGTAGGATAGAAGCATGCATGTAATCCTACAGTCATGCACAATGGAAAGTTTTGATTTTGGATTTTCTTCCACTTCCATCTCTTTTCTTATCCTCGGAGGGCATAAAGTAGGGAAAGTCATCAAGCAAAGTCCACCCGTGAAAAACAATATCCTGGCCTTGCCTCCATTTTCCCCTAACGTTGGAGGGAGTAGGGTGGCCTGGAAAACTCGCAGCGCGTGACATTTTAAGCTGTGACCGCTAGATGTCAGCCTCCATTCACGGTAGCTCTCATCCTCCCTTCTCCTATCTGACAAGTCTCAGAATTTTTGAGATATTAACCACCCTGGAATTAAACCATTTTCTTTTCTTCCTCTTTAGAGGTTTTAATTCCAGAAGGAGTTGGCGGGCACTGTCCACTCACTTCTCTACTGGGACCCCATTCTGACAAGTCTTCTGGGCAATAAATACAAACATAAAACCCTTTTTGCAAGCTCAGTCTGATATCAAGCAAGAGAAAAAGAAGCCAGAGAAAGTACTGTCCAAGAAATAGATAATCAGGAAAGAGAAGGGATACAGAAGCCCAGAGAGGGAAGGTTTTAAAAAAGGTTGCGTGAGAAAGCTGTAGAGGCGTATACTGAGAACGGAGGAAAAGCAAAAGATAAATGTTCACAGACATGAGGGCGTGAGGGAGACTGGGCTCCTGAGAGCCCAGGAGTTTGTAGAGCCCCAGTGGTGCTGGACTGGTCAGTGAACTTGGCAGTGCAAGGATGCAGGCATAGTGCTGACCAAGTAGGTGTGCAGACCTCATGAGGACTTCCTGGAGGAATGGGCCCAGTGCCTGTTTGTGGAAAAATTAAACACCTTGAAGACAATGGGGAAAATTGAAGAAAGTTACCAGGACTGGGGTGGGGTGGGGGTTGGAGGTGGTAAGGAGGAGATGATGGGAAAAAATGAGGTACAGGAGTTGTTAACTTTAGGTACATTTTGTCAAAATTCCTAACCTACTAACTGCTGGGACTTTAGGGAAACACCCTCCTTAAAGTTGCTTGTTTCCAGCGTGCTCATCTCAACTTCCAGCAGACATTTAATAAGCTGTTGCCCACCTACCCTCCCCCAAAAGCAAAAGAAGTGTTTGAGTAACTGGTGAAAGAATCCTACAACTCTGGAAAGACTTGTCCATGGTGATTTCTGTTTTTTCAGTTGTATAGTGTTTGCCAGAGCTACTCTTCGACATCTGAAAACTAGAATGCCTTAAGAGTTCTTATCTTCAGGTTTTCTAGTTTCATTTTATATCTTTTCCTTTATTTTTGTTTCTTCTTCTTCTAGATGCCAGTGCCCAACTCATTCTCATACTTACTCCCAAGGTAAAAAAAAAAAAAAAAAATTGTGTTTTTAATCTATCCACAATTTCTATTGAGAGGAAGACTGATGAAAATGGTTGCTTTTTTTCACCTGGTAATATGTAGTACTAATTATATGTTGGCTGAGTGTATGCTAGTAATTATAGTTTGGCTCAAATATATATTAGTGCTATTTGAATGTTTTTCTATTTAAATAGAATTGTCAAAGCTAAAAATGGTGGTATAGCTAGGGTTTTTAGGTTTTAGGATAGATTTAGGAGGTCTGAGTTCATCAAACAGATGAAATTTTTGAAAGCTTCTACTAAATCTCAAAAGAGAAAGAGACTAGAAAGCAAGGTGATATCTACAAGGGAAGCTTGTTTGTATCAATTTTTAAATAAAATTTTTTTCTTAATAATAATAATAATAACATAGGACAGAAGTTTTCAGTTCCCACAAACATCTTAATCCTTACCAACTCCATTGTCTGCAAAGCAGCAGGAAGCTCATTGTAGCTTCAGCGTCTCATCACAATGTCACATGAATTACTGACACAAAAAATGATTTCACCTCTTAGAAGAGAACACCACAGCAAGAGATGGAAAGGAGGGGGCCTGCCCATACAGGATCCTAAGTAGAAACCCACAAAGATGGCTGTTGGGGAATAGAACACATAAAGTTACTTAATGAGGGCTTTTTCTTGGCCATAGAGTGTCTCACAATTCAAGATAAGACAAGGGACCTCTAAGTCATTCATAGGCATGTAATAGGCAGAAGCATGCCCAAACTTCTAAGCCCTCATGAACATACACAGATCATCTTCAGTTGTTTTTCTCTACTTCCTAGTTGATTTCAAAAAAGATTCAGTAATGTCCTATTTGGAGTAATAAAATTACTAATTAAAAAAAAAATCTCGCTGTTTTCTAGGATCCAATGACAAACTCCTCCCAAATTTAATAACATGAGTAATAGCTTTTTAAAAAACCTTTAAGAATCAACAAAGTTATAATTTTTACTAAGGATATCATTGCCCTCAGAGAACTGAAGATAGATTGATGTAGTTGAGGCCTTTTTTTCTTTGGGGAAAAAAAATGGCAGTGAATATTGTATGTAGACTTCTTGTTCAATCTCACAACTAACCAAGACTGATATAAACTGATAGATTAGAATAAGTATAAAATTAGTAAAAATGACCCTCTTACTGTGCAATATGACAAAAATAATTTTTCCTATAACTAAATCCTGCTACTTTGCAAAGCTGTAGCAGTTCATAAAAGTTTTTATTAAATCTCACAGAGAAACTAAATTTGTCATATGTGCAAATTTGAGAAATGTAGATATCATACCATGATAACCTCCATGGAAAAAAAGAAAACTGTTAATCCAAATGATTACAGTTGCTATGGGAAATGCAGACTGACTCTAATTAGTGGACTTATTAATAGTGTTCTCCAAAAATAGCTCACTCTAAGAGTTTAGAGGATTGTTTTTCTAGAGAATTTTTACCATTATATATTCAAAAGTATATTTTAATTTCAGTGGAAAACATTATGACACAATCAGCATAAAGTTCATAGTCTCTTAAAATGCATGTTTAATTTAAATTTGATATGCAACAAAGAAACCTGAAAAATATATTTTAGGTAAACCTTCAAGGGAAGTGTTTATGCTCATTGTCAGAATACTAATTTTACTTTCTGTTTGAGACCTACTCTGATGCCGATTTTTATATTCCAGCTCTTGGACTTTCATCTTCTGGAAAAACAACAGATTATGCCTTTGAGGTAGATTTAATCAATCCATTATTTCTTTTATGAACGACCTAAAAAAAAATAAAACTAGAGTATTTTGCCAGTACATTATTATCTCATTTGAAATCTATCGTTAATTGATATCCCCTGATTTCATTATTTGTTCAGGCTCTTTGCTGAAAAGCAAAGTACTTTGTTGGGATCATGGAATATAAATTTTATAATAATATGAATAATATCTAGAATACTGTCCTCTATACAGGCATTAAAATAGTACAGATTTTCAGTTTACAAACTCTCTGACATATGTTAAATGTTATATATTATTTAGTTTTATGACTATAACAATCCCAAAAGAGACCCAAGTGACCTCTTAAAACAAGAATAAAGGAATAATTAATTCTGATGAACTTTTATCACATTATAATTACATAATGATTTGTTTAAACCCTTATCCTCTCCTAGCTCAAGAGTCATAGTTTAAACTGTCTGTGTGAGCCTGACAGTTTAACTAACCCATGATCAGGCACAGATTGCTTGGAGCAGAGCACACTCAGGTGCCTTGATTGTATGGGAGGCTGGAGAGTGCATGAATGAGTGCACGAATGGGAAGAGAATGAATAAGTGAAGGGGCAAAAATGCATAGAAACAGCAATGCTCAACTTGGAAAGTAAGTCATTTGAGAATTAATTTAAGTGTAGAGTCAGGGAAAAGCAAACATTTAAATCTAAGGGGGAAATTCAAGCATTATGATAAGTATTTAAAATGTGACTGGGATCCAGGTTTGTTTATAGAAATATGATGAGTCTGATGTCAGATCAGGTGTGTGGGGGCAACCTGCTAGCCTGCTAAGGAAAATACACTTTATTTTTGGAACAATGAGAATCATTTTAGGTTTTTAGAAATGGAATGAACAGCTCTCTAATATACCCTACACCTAAGGCCTTTTTTTTTTTCCAGATGGCTGTTTCAAATATTAGATATGGAACAGGAGTTACAAAGGAAGTGGGCATGGCAAGTATTTGAGATTTCTTAGTCTTCTAGATATGTTAACTATCTTTTTTTTTTTTTTAAAGATTTATTTATTTGTGCATACAGAACTGGGGTACAGGCCAGAGGCTCAGGGGCAGTGAGAGGATTCACCAGAGACAGAAGGGGAATAGAACAGGCAGATGGACGAAGTACACTGCTGAGGGGAGCAGCGGGCGGGTCAGGAGAGGTCTGCCACACCATGTGGTCACCTCCGGGGCTGGTGGGAATCAAACTCATGCGGAAGCGGCTTTAGATTCTCAGTGCTGTGCTTTAACCCACTGCGCCACCAAGGAGGGCCCAAGTTTACTATCTTTTAAAAGAGTACAAATTGAGAACAGTTGAGTCCTTTGTTTTCAAAAATATATATTACGTTTGCCATAAGTCTACTACAGTGCGAGTGCAATCAAACCTAATTTGTAAATTATTTTTATTATTGTAGGACTTAGGAAATATGGGTGCTAAAAATGTTTGTTTGATGACAGACAAGAACCTCTCCCAGCTCCCTCCTGTACAAACAGTTATGGATTCCCTCGTGAAGAATGGCATACACTTTAAGGTTTATGATAATGTGAGGGTGGAGCCCACTGATAGAAGGTATTCTTTCATTGCTATTACTTTAAGTGGAATCAGTGTATTTCGTTGTCATTGAAAACTTGCCCCAGGCCATATGTAATGGCTTGGCAATTTATTTCTGAAAATGTGACATAATGGTTTTTATTTCCCCTTTTCCAAGCTTCATGGAAGCTATTGAGTTTGCCAAAAAGGGAGCTTTTGACGCCTATGTTGCTGTGGGCGGCGGATCCACCATGGACACGTGTAAAGCGGCTAATTTGTACGCATCCAGCCCGCACTCCGATTTCCTAGATTATGTCAATGCCCCCATTGGGAAGGGAAAGCCTGTGTCTGTACCTCTTAAGCCTCTGATTGCAGGTAAAGACTGTTTTATTTTGCAATTGACGAAAGTCCTCAGAGAAGACACAAGTTCATAATTTGGGGGTATATGTTTCCACAGCTTTCTGATTTCTTTCTGATTTTGGTGTAGTACCTTGTTTGGAGAACAAAGGAACAAGTCATTGGTGTTTAAAATGCTGATCTTCATTATTGCACAGAGACAGTTTGGTCAGTGGTGGAAAGTTTGCAGATTTAATCTATGAGGTCATTATGTGGGGTGGGGGTAAAAGGTCATCATTTACACACTATTATATCCCTATGTAATAAGCAAGTTTGTCTTCTAAACCCTTCTCTTTTGTCCCTTTTTTGTCAGCCATTGTGCAATCTTATGTGGAACATTTGCTATTATCTTGCTGGTGTTGACTCAAGCCTTTCTTCCGTGGAAGACTCTTCATTTGACCTGAGGCTTTGTCTGCCCTGGGCCATGTGGCCAGTATCATACTCTGTGGCTGCCCTAGACACACACACACACATATCCAAATCAGAATAATGTGTCTGTTCCACTCAGACTTCAAGATCTTTCAATTAGTTTCCCTCCCATGTTATGACTGTTCATGTATTGTATTCAGTAAAATACACTAACTGACAACTGAAAAACAATCAGTTTAAGATTTTGTCTTCTCTCTCCTCACCCTTTTTTGCCCTTTGTGAATGTGCCTTGGGATGGGATAGGAATGAGTTGATGGCAGATGAACTTTGATGTGAATGAACAGTCAGCGGGGAGCAACATAATTGACATGGGCAAATGGAACCCTCTGGTGAAACTGTGTCAGCATCACACAGAGGAGTGATTAGTAAAGTTTAAAAACTTGACAGAACTACAAAACCACAGAGCTCAGCAAAGGCAAAGCATTACTGTGCTTACTGCCAGGATAAAGATGTCCTTTAGAGACAGCAAATAGAAGTTTTCTTACCAGAGATTCCAAGCAATCTGTATTTGAATATCCAGCTGCATCTGCTTAGAGGATCCTCAGTTTCCCAGCACTGTTAATACAGAAATAAGCATCATTTCTGTATGTTAAACATACACAAATGGTAGTACAGAAATGGATGACATATGTGCATACATACAAGTTAGGGCAAATACAGACTTCACACATCCATGTTAACACCGATACAGACCACATCAGGTACACACTTGTGTCAGGTACACACACACATATTGATGCAGGCATTTTACATGCTAAATATTCATTGCATTAAGGCAGGTGGAGACCAAATGTGCATGTTAATTATGTGTGCTGGCATGTTAATACTAACACAGGTATCATGCCTGTTATATACACATGTTAATGCAAACCAGACATATATGTTAAATATGCATGCTTGTTAATAATACAATCATCAAGAGGAAACTAGGGCAGCAGAAGTTGCTGCACTAACTATGTTCTTTATTTCCTAAAGCCAAATTAAGTATATCCAGTGACCTTTATTCAGGTGCTTTATTAAAATAAATGTAATTTTTTTTTCAAGTCCCAACCACCTCAGGAACTGGGAGTGAGACTACTGGAGTTGCCATTTTTGACTATGAACACTTGAAAGTAAAAACTGGTAAGAACTTTGCCCTTAAAATTTGTTTATAATTCTCTCTTACGTTTCAACTTTACCCCTATTTCTTTAGTAATAATATTTTAAACTTAAGGAGTACATATACACATTATCTTTTTTATATATGGAAAAGATGTGAAACAATCTAGTAAGCTTGTTTCTAAGAATTACCTTCAAAAGCATTTTGAAATGCCATGAATCTTGACTGACAACTTTTTCCCAAGTTAATAACTACTTAGGATAAATACTTATTCCCTTTCTTAGACATCTTTTGTACATTTAACTGTAATGTAATCATATATAATAAAGTTCAGGAGTTTGGGTTAATAAATTTTGACATATATAGACACCCAGTTAAGATACAAAACATTCCTATCACTCCATAAAGTTCCCTCATGCTCCTTCCCAATCAGTCAGTCTTTCCAGCCCCACTCCCAAGGAATGTTCTCCTTTCCATCTTGTCATTTTTATCCTTTCTTCTGTGACTCTCAGCTACTGTGTTAGCAAAATCTTGAGTCTGATGCAATATCCTTTGAGGTGTTTGTAGCAAAAACAAACAAACAAATAAAAAACTGATATTGAACCACACATGTAAAGTACCACTCTTTTTCAATTAAATTACATTGTCCTTTAACATTGTTCAAAGTAGTAGTCAGGTAACTGAAACAAAAATTCTACCTTAGAGATTTTTTTTTAGATTTATTTATTTATGCATACAGAACTGGGGTACAGGCCAGAGGTGCAGGGGCAGTGAGACGATACACCAGACACAGAGTGGGGTGCAGAACAGGCAGATCGACCAAGTATACTGCTGAGGGGAGCAGGGGGCAGGGCAGGAGAGGTCTGCCACGCCATATGGTCACCTCCAGGCCGGCCGGTTTCGAATTCATGCTGAAGTGGCTTTAGCTTCTCAGTGCTGTGCTTTAACCTGCTGCACCACCAGGGAGAGCCCCTTTAGAGATTTTTTTTTTAAGGCTTTACATATTGTTATTTAATGTGATCCTTACAATAGCTCTGTGAAGGATGAAGACCTTATAGAACTATAACCTGATCTCATCAATAATTCAGAAAGGCTAACTAAGTAATTTACCCAAAGACAGAGGATCAGAGCAAGGTGCTACACTGTGAGATTGCTAATAAACCAGCTCTCTGGAATTTATTAAATAAATAAACTCTAATGTGTAGTGTTCTATTTCTGCATTATAAATACTCTCTGGATAGGCAACAACATCACTCAACCAGGAGCTGGGAAGAGATATGTATATTTGGCTCTTGGAAGATGTTTTAGTGCCGCTGACTCCAAATTGCTTTCCCTTGTTCTTTGCAATGCAATTCTCCCTACATGAGAATGAATTTTATCTCATATGTTTAGGGTATTTTCTTATTCTTAAGCTAATTAACTTTTTTTGATATTTATTTTATTTATGCATCCAAGAACTGCAGTATAGGTCAGAGGTATGGGGGCGTGAGGGGATTCACCAAAGGGAGTGGGGAGCAGAACAGGCGGATCTACTGAAATACACTGCTGAGTGAAGCAGTGTTGGAGACAGAAGTCTGTTGTGCCATGTGGGTCAGCTCCCTGGCCAGAGATCAAACTCATGCTGTGGTGGCTGCAGATAGATTCATAGAGCTGAGAATTAACCCCTTATACCTCCAGGGAGGCCCTAATTAACATTTTTCAATGGTATCCATGCCTTTATTGAAAATCCCTGTCTTAGGCATTGCTTCCCGAGCCATTAAGCCCACGCTGGGACTGGTTGACCCTCTGCATACACTGCACATGCCTGACCGGGTGATTGCCAACAGTGGCTTCGATGTGCTCTGGTAGGTACTGATGCCACCTGTAGGGGCTTTTTGATGCTTGGACAGCACTTTATTGCTGAGAAAACTTGCTTAGCATTAATTGATTAGTGCTTAATACGAACCCTGACTTGACTATGAGGATGCACCACTTTAGACACAGCTGCTGCCACAGGGACACAGCAGAAGGAGCAGGTGAAGCTGACATGCAGTCTCAGACCCACAACACCTACAACTGACCAGTGATTCCCAGGGCACTCCCCAACCATGAAGGAGGTAGGGAGGGAATGAACATGGCAGCACTTTACACACGTCTTCACTTCACTATAACTGTGAACCACAAGAAGAAGAAAATGGGTTAGAGATGTTCAGTAACTTCCCCAGAGTCATGCCACATGCTGCCTGGACTTCAGCTACAAGGTGCTAATGACTCTAATCGTGTTTCTACCACAGACTTCACTCCTAACTCCAACACATTTGTTCAGGGGCCTCATAGAGGTCCCACAGGCACTTCACATTCAGTATGTCCCAAGTGACCCTACTTTATCCACTTGTATAAAAACAATTTTTTGCACATTTTAGTATCTCTGAAATTTAAGACATATCTTAAAATCTTGACATGGTTGTATGATTTTCATCCTCTGTAGTACAATTTTTTGAATGGTAGACCTTATAATGCATGATATCCTAAATTTGATGAAATCTGATAAATCTTTTCCCCTCACCACACTCCATAACTTCTCTGCCTCAATCCCTTAACTTAACAAATAGTAGGACTCAGTATGAATTTCTCCCTTTTCTCATGCCCCCATCCAGCCATCCTATCCCTTACCCTGCTTGAAGCTTTATCATGGCTCCTATCTCCTCTCACACCTCATTGCTGCTGCCTAGTTTAGCTCAATCCTTCCCTGGAACATTACCATTATTATCTTCATCATTTTTCCCTGGCTCCTGCCCATAGTCATTCCATCTGTTCAACATACTGACCTCAACAAGCTTTCAGAATGCAATATACCCATCACACATCTACACAGGAACACACACACACATGTTCACACGCCTTTGAAAGTGTGACCTTACATGTCTTTTCAGTGGCCTCCCCCACCTACAGACAGATGGCCAAATTCCTTGGTCCTAGATGATCCCCAGTGCTCAGCTTTTAATCTTTTGGCGAACTCATCTTTCAATTCCACTAGAACATTGGGAGCCTTTGCAGGTCCCACTCTCTTCTCCCTTCACTCCTTCCTTTGTTCTACCCTAAGGCTTCTAACATACCCTGTCTTCTTCTCTGCACTGGGAGCTTGACATGATAATCTTATTCACTTCTCTATCTCTTCCCCTTATCTCAATGGCTGTTACAGGATGAGTACTCAGTTATCTGATGAATGGAGTTCACACAAGCAGGAGGTGGCAGACTTAAATTCATGTGTAGACCTACCAAGTTCATTGCTTTTCTCACTACATTATGCTGCCTGCTAAGAAACTGGAAAAAACTGTGCCCAGTTCCATTCTCATCAATGTTGTCCATACTTTGGAGAGTTGGCCCCTAATAACTTAGAAATAAGTTAAATGTAAACTGTGTGATAAATATAAAATGAACCAAAACAATCACCTTTGAGTGAATGATCCACAGGCCTAAAAACTTCACTATCAGAGGAGGGACTGTGATTGTTGCTCAAATGCTGTCTGAGGGTAAGAACATCTGATCTAAGAAATCTGGCTCTGTAGCTCAGCACTTGACTTTGAAGACGGGTATATCCATATGTTCATTCTTAGTAGCAGTTCCCCTTGTTAGGACCCCATGGGCTTTCTGCATATAAATTAGCGACTCTTAGAACTTGCCAATTTGGGGGTTTTTCCATCTAAAAGACTGGTGTTAGTCTCACTGAGCAATTACATGTCTCATTGTCAATCAATAACCTGACTTCTAGCTTCCACATACAGTCTCTGTAAACTAAGTTCAGCAAGTCTACTCCTGAGAGATGTATCTGCTCTTGGATTTAATTGAAACTCCCTGCAGGACAAAAGTCTCACCCTGCCTACCACTACCCCACCCTTGCCACATAGACTCCTCATTATTATGTGTCCCACATCCCCTCTTTAGAACCACAAAGCCAGAGCACCTGTCTACTGACTAGTGAAAAGAATTCTAATTCTTTGCTCAAAAGATATTATCTCCTTATAAGTAGAATAGATTCTCCATTCTAAAACTGAAAAGTGTAATTCATGCAAAAATTATTGCATGTTCTATAGTGTTTACAATGCTTCACTGATAAAATGATCATGGCTACTCTCATTTTCTGCAGATGATTAGCTAGAATTAGTAACAGGTCACCAAATGAAGGCAATTTTATACTTAGTTCTTAAAATATCCAACCTGAGCTACAAGCACATAAGAAAAAAATAATTGTTTTTTAGGCCAATAATTAATAATGGTGAGTGATAAGTTTATAATATACTGAGCATTTCATTTAAGTTTCACAGTAGTTCCATGAAGACACAATATCATTATCCCTGACTTAGAGCCACAGGAAGGGTAATGACCCCCTGGGATTTCAACAGCAAAGTCTGGTGCCAGGACTTATCCATGGGCAGCTGACCCCAAAGTCTGTGTTCTCATCCACTGCACCATACTTTTAGTAGGAGGCCAGTGTAATTATGACCTTCTTTGGGTGATGTGGTACTTAGATCAATGCACAGCATAAAATAGTAAGTATATATTATTTTAAAAGCCACTTTTAGGTTCAATGCTTTTCTTCAACTGAAATGCTTAAAAATTCCCCATCATAAGATTTAATTGTACTGGAAAGGGGCCATATGTAACCTTATACATGCTGGTCAAAACACTGAATTAATTTTTAGAATAGACAAGAAGCTGACTAGTGGGTTGTATTGTGATTGTAAGTGCTGAATAGTATATTCACAGTGGAACAAGCCCCAAACGAGATAGTCGGTAGTCTGAATGGAGAGAAAGAAGATGATGCTCTCAATCTGTATGTTTTAAATATTTCTTGTTAGCCACGCCCTGGAGTCCTACACTGCCCTTCCTTACCACCTGCGCAGCCCGTGTCCTTCAAATCCCATCAATCGGCCAGCCTACCAGGGCAGCAACCCAATCAGCGACATTTGGGCGGTTCATGCACTGCAGATCGTGGCAAAGTACCTGAAGAGGTGGGTCACCCAGAGGGCATAGAAACAGAACAGTAAATCCCCACTCTGCACTCACATAAAGTGTAGCTCAGGATCCAGGCATAACCTCAACAAGTCTGTTGAAAAGAACAGTCGGTCACTATAGAGAAGTAGTAGAGATCTACAACTTCAGGAGGAATGAAGGGATGATAAAAAAGCCACATGAAGACAGTAAACTGGGATTTCTCTCTCTGAAAGCAATGAGTGCAAGAGGACAAAATAGGAGCCCCTAGCTTATAGATAGCCGTTCTCAAAATCAAAGCTAGGATGAGGGCAATGTCCATTGAGATTTGTCTACCAAGGGAAAATAAAATGTTACTGTGTCCATCCATGTCCATCCATCCAATCGACCCACTGAACAAACTCACATGAATGCAGTTTAAAAAATAAATGTATAGAGCTCAGTGGTTTTAAAAGTTTAATGAATGACAGCTCCATAATAGGCCCCTAAGAGAGCAAAGGTATAGTTAGTGGCGAAAGCTGAACCATGAAACGCTGAGACATATGCAAAGTCAAACTCACGTTTGAATTTATGCAAAATGCACCAACAGCTTAGCTCAAAAGTGAGCATAGTGCCTCCTCTGAACTTGAGCTGAAAGCTGCATGGGAAGGTGGGCGTGGGCTGTGCTTTTGAGTATGCTGGGAGAAGAGACACTGAACTGCTTCAGGTTCATGGAAGTCACATGGAATTTGGAAGCAGCTGACTGTTAGAAGTTGAGACAAGTTGGTCAGATAATATGTTTGATGGGGACAGAAAGCTTGGTATTGTAGCCATAGGAGGTGAGGGGGTAAAATGAGCATTAGAAGGCTGATACTCCATCATCTGCCATTTCATCTTGTATTAGGGAATAAGGAACTAACATTGGACAATCACCAAGCCATCCATTCCAAATAAAAGGAGAAAAAATGGCTATGGCACTTGTATTTCATAAGAGGAACCTTTATTGGAGGCAAATTGCAAAAAGGCAAATGAGAAGTGGTTCAGTTGGCAGTTTTAGACTCCCTCCCTGGGCCTGGGTTTCTAAGCAGTGAATACAGGAAGACTGAGCTGCATCTGAAAGGGGCCTTTGAGAATTTGCTTTTCCAAAGTGGTATAAGGGATGTCTAGAGCAAGCAAAGGTTAGTCCTGTAATAACATCCCACTTCCACAATAATAAATATTAAAATAGCATGTGCACTTTCTGCAGATACCAAGAGAGGTCCCTAGTGGGGTTGATCGGGACATTATCTTAAAAGAATGGATAGTTACGCTACTGCATTGGCCTGCAGGTAGCTTGAGACTACAGACACACTTGAGGAGACATTTGGGCCTTGTACATTCTGCGTATATGTTTACCCTAGGTCCACTCACGCGGTGGTCAAGGTCATTGACAAATGAAGAAGAAGAATGAGTCTCAGGGCACTTTTCCAGATCAACTCTCACAATCCAGGGGTCAGTGCTTTTCTTCCCCTGGCACTTTTATCACATGAGCACCCTGACAGCATATTTATTATGCCTTTGCTAAAACAGTTGATGAGAAAATATGTTTCCTTTTGGTTTTGGTTTAAATGAGGAGATGTCATTTGAATAACTTGCCTAATTTTTCTTCCCAACAAGTAACATTTCTTTTTTTCCAGATCATTCCTTAAGGCGATTCTTTATTTAGTAGGAAATGCCAGTGTTGATGTGTTATTATTACATATTTATATCATCTGCAGGGCTGTCAGAAATCCTGATGATCTTGAGGCAAGGTCTAATATGCACTTGGCAAGCGCTTTTGCTGGCATTGGCTTTGGAAATGCTGGTGTTCATCTGTGGTAAGCAAATTAAGGTTTCATTCTTCACTTAAACTATTGTTTTAAATTTTTTTTTAAGATATATTTATTTGTTCATACAGAACTGGGGTACAGGCCAGAGGTTCAGGGGTGGCAAGAGGCTTCACCAGAGACAGAGTGGGGAGCAGAACAGGCAGATCTACGAAGTACACTGCTGAGGGGAGCAGCAGGCGGGTCAGGAGAGGTCTGCCACGCCATGTGGTCTCCTCCGGGGCAGGCGGGAATCGAACTCATGCAGAAGTGGCTTTAGCTTCTCAGTGCTGTGCTTTAACCCGCTGCGCCATCAGGGAGGGCCTTGTTTTTAATTTTTAAAAAATATTTCTAATTTCAGACAGGTGGTAAAATTTAAATATGCTATAGAAAGAAGAAATTTAACTTAAAGTCCTAAAATATTTTAATGTAAGTAGTTTATTGGGTCAAAGATTTTTTTGGGGCTTTTTTTGTAACTGTTTTATTGAAATGTAAATCACCTACTTTGTAATTTTCCCATTTGAAAGATACAGTTCTTAGAATTGTACAACTATTACCACATGCAATTTTAGAACATTTTATCACTCTGAAAAGAAATGCCCTATCACTTGGCTGTTACTCACCAAACTTCCCATGTTCCCCTGTTAAGCAACCACTGATCTATTTTTCTGACTATAGATTTACCTATTCTGGATGTTTCATATAAATGGATTCATATAACATGTGACCTTTTGTCTGACTTCTTTAACTTAAAATAATTTTGTATGATTTACCAAGGAATATATCAGTGCTCCATTCTTTTTTATTGCCAGTATTCCATTGCATAGGTTATGCCACATTTTATTTATCCATTCATCAGACGATGGACATTTGGCCTTCTGTTCTGATTATTATGAATAATGCTACTATGAACATTCCTGTACAAGTTTATATGTAAATATATTTTTTTTCTTTTTAGTAAGTATATACATACTGGATCATAGTAACTATGTTTTAAGTTTTGAAAAAATGCCAAACTCTTTTCCACAGTGACTCTACAGTTTCTACCAGTAGTGAATGTGGGTTCTGAATTCTCTCCCTCCTTGCCATGTTTTCTAGATTTTTAAAATCTCAAAAGCAGAATTTTTTCCTCTCCTAATCTTTACAAGGGAGGAATAAGAATCTTTAATAGATCAGAATTAGACTCTTGGATTAGAACTTTATGGTATTTTGCCTAGAAACTGAAAACTAGTGAACACAGAATTAACACCAGGCCTTTGCTAGGAAGTGCAATGAAGTGATCATCTTCAACTCTACTGCTGAGATGAGCACAGATCTGAACACTTTAAAAGAAAATAAGCAAAGTCCATCCAGGGCTTAAAAGATGTTTATGCCCAGTGACCCACTAACTTTGCTTCTAGGAATGTAGCCTAAAGAAATAATCCTGATATAATCAAAGAATTTTCTTATAAGTCATAGTCACTTAGGTATAATTTATGATTGAAAAATTTGGAAGCAACTTAAAGTTTAAGCAGTTGGAGATGGTTAACTAAGTGATGCCCTCAAAGTAAAGTAAGGTTGTTAAAAACCATATTTTAGAAGAAGGGAAAAATGATATGGGAAAATGTTCATAATGAATATTAAATAACAAAAACAATGATTAAAATTATATGCACAATAATGATTGTTAACTAAAGATATGCACAAAAGGCAAAAGAAGAAATATCCTATAGTGGTTATCTTGATATCAATTATGGATAATTTTTAAATTTTTTAAAGAACATATTTAACTGTTAAAGAAAATGAAATTAAAATATTTAGTATTGTTAGAGAGTTGCCTTGAAAGCTACATAACCCCTTTATAACATGAAAACACACCAAGCATTAATTTTCTCAGTATTAGGGGGCCAAAGAAAATTAAAGCACTTCTCTAAGGACCTCACAACTCAGAAAACCAATAACTTTCCATCTGCCTCATGATTTAGGTAAGAGGGTACCTTGCTTTGACTAAATCATCATACAGTTTGCCAAAATAGTCATCCTCCCATATAATGTAAAACTTTTCATGAATGAGCACATAATCATCCAATAACCCACATTAAAAGACCTGCAAACCACTTTACTACTCTAAAGCATTTCAATATCTTAACTTCTCACAATATTTCTTTGAGGCAAGTAGTAAACTATAATATAGTCCTGTTTCCTTAACAAGAGTTCAAGAAGATATAAAGCATTTTCCCATTAAAACAAAGCAAAATAAAGGGATATAAGAATGGTAGTAGAGAAAAAAATAAAGATAAATTTGAGAACTGACAAACACATGCATGCTTAAACATTTCTTTATTCTTACACATGATGACACAGGACTAGGAGCACGTTGAATCACATGCCCTTTAGAGTCTAAGGCACTTCCTAGCTTGGTGTTGGATATTTGAAGGCTAAGATTAAATCTCTACAAGAAAAGAAACAAAAATAACTCCACAGATTAAAAAAAACATGGTGCCTTTCTTGTAGCATTTCAGAGTAGAATAATAATAATCACTTATGATTCAAGTTTATTAGGATGTAACATCTGAAAGAATGTCTCAATTATTGGCAGGACAGATCACTGGCAGGTCACACTTGTGTGCTTAATGCAGCACGTCTTGGCTCATAAACTCCCATCGACGGCTCCAACCAGTGCCAGTGCAGGCTGCCAAGGGTGTGCAGAGCAGAACAGAAGACACATTCCCTGGTGTTTATTAAAGGCACTTCAAAGGGAATTCTTGATATCTTCAAGCTCATGAAGTTATCCACTGTGTTTAGGAAGCAAACTTGGCATCAACATTTTTTAAGGCATACTACCTCATGAGAATTTGAATTTGAACATCAGAGAGGTTTTATTAATGAACACACTAACTATCCAGAGTGTAGTAACATATCCTCATGTCATAGGATACAGAATGAATAACTTTGCGAGATAGCAATATTGTGAACAGACTTTTAAGGGCTTCCCCCATAAGAGTATCTTTGTATTGTTAACTTGAATTTCTCTAGCTGCATATCAACGTAAGGACTCTTTCTTTTCCAGCCATGGAATGTCCTACCCAATTTCTGGCTTAGTGAAGACCTATAAAGCAAAGGATTATAAAGTGGATCACCCACTAGTGGTAAAATCATACTAAATTGTTTCATTAAATCTTGCACTCCTGAGAATTTCCATAAATCTACTTGTCAAATCTTGATTTCTTAGAGTACAAATAAAAATAAGTTAACAGCTTTCATATGCCCATTGAAGGCCAGCTGTGCCCATGATCACCATGCTATGTTTCTCTCCAGCCTCATGGCCTTTCTGTGGTGCTTACCTCTCCAGCGGTGTTCACTTTTACGGCACAGATGGCTCCTGAACGGCACCTGAAAACAGCAGAAATACTAGGTATGAACCATCACTCATAAAACCGTGACAAATATATGTGGAACATTTCCTAGGTTTGCTTCTAAAAATAAAACATTTTTTAAAATGTTGCTTGAGATAGTTTAATAACAAAATGTTGGTAATCTGCAAAATGTTAAGATATGCTAAAATTCTATAACTTTCTATTCCTAATAGTTTATCATCAATGAAATGAGCCAATATCACTAATGTTAAATTTGTAGTAATGTTATTTCCACTGTGTTCATCCCCAGGAAGAATGAAACTCTATATTATCAATGTTACAAATGACCTTTGCTATTTTACAATAGATAATACAATGCTAATTTTTTTAATAGGTAAGAAAATGAAATTAAATCAGGAAGTAAAATAAATCCCCCATTATAGAGAAACTAAGCAAATCAAAATTTTATAAAAAAAATCCACCCAAAAGAATGTTTGTGTTCTATGGGAAAAAAATGTCTATAATAAGATACTAGCTGTATCTTTTAAATCTTACACAAAATAAAATTGTATTCAGTATCACTCTAGTTTTAAATCCAATTTTTGTGTTTCTCTAATATGAGACTTCTTTCAAATACACTAGAGTATCAGAGTAACTTTCAAAACATCTTATTCCTCTACTTGTGTTTAAGGTGAAGAGGAAGGCTAAAAAGAAAACTTTATTATGCTTTTCTAGCACCAGCCATTGGAGAGATTATTTCCAAGGTAGGAGCGACCACAGGCATCCCTCCTTCCTTGTAAGCTGCTTCCCCTCACTTCTCTCTCACACTCTAGTCTTTGTTCTTTCCCAAGTTCCAGGTGCTGTGCAGGGAATGTTAATGAAAGAAGCCACTGCTAGGGACGAGAGCCAGAGCAGTGGGCTCCATTTCCCAGCATGCACACTGGAAACATGGTGCTGCCTTTACCTAGAGCCTGGTGTTCCTGTCCCTTTCAGTTGGGAATGTTGTTTAGCCATGTGTTGGGGTTCAGATGCCTTTGGAAATATGTCAACAGCGTAACCAGGAAGGAGTAAAAGTAGTAGGCTAGATGTATGACAAATAGGAAAATCTTAGAAAACTTAAAGTTCACTCCAGGAACCTAACAAAATTAACTAAGAAAGCAATTCCTCTGTTAGTCAAAATCCAGGTCAGGAAAAGCTCACCAATTCTATCTTTTTACACAAGAAATTTTAATATTATTCTATCTTTAACGATTAAGTATTGATTCCCTGTGCTATTTTTTTTTTCTAAAACACTTTATAGGAAAACCTAGAGATTTAGATGATGTGTTTTATGGCCAAAATCCTGGGAACATAAAAACCTCTTATATCATATATCATATGCTGCCTTCTCCACCAAGCCCATATTTTTGCTGCTGCTGTATAATACAGACAAGTCTTGTCAAGCAAGTTTTACTTCCATTCAGCTGCACTCCCAGCTACCCCTATATCTGGTTTCATTTATAGCCTTCCCCTGGATACTAAAACAGTCCTTGCTGTCATAGGAGAGAAAGATTAAAACATTAATGAAGTGCTTCACTATGGAGGGGAACTGTACATTCTATTCTCCTTTTGAACAACACAGGGAAAGTGGGGTTGAACTGGAGCATGTGGCATTTTGGATAACATACAATGCTATATTCACTGTTAGAGGGCTTCCTGCCTGGCACTGAATGGGTTCAACTAGAATAAATTGTAGAGGGGGAATAAATGGCAGAGGTACTAGTATGGGGGATCAGTCCCTTTTGTCTGGAACTTTCACTGCCACTCTGCCTGAAAACAGAACCCCTGATTCTTCCAGTTTATTGAATACTATTTTCTGAGAGTCTTCATTCACTTGGGTCTGCTTAATCAACTCTAGAACACATACTTAGAGATAACTATCCTGCCTTTTGGCAATAGACACCCAAATAAGATGTTTTAAGGCTACAGAGAGGTAATATATTCTCCCCTGGCTACACTTTATCAGTGTTTGTCACACTTCATTTTCCTACCTTTCAACAGTTATTCTGGAGTTTTTATATTTCTATATGCCTTCCCCTCAAGGTGCTGACAAAGGGTTTGTCTTCCTTTTCGTAAAGTATTGTATGAAAAGACATTGAACATGCATACCTCTAGATGTCAGCAAATCCCAAGCCTTGAAAGTTATATAAGCTGTGTTTTCTCCCACAAATAAATGTTCATTCCTCTCATCCAAATACCAGCCTTCTTTACTGGTCTTCTGTAACTCTTTCCTTGGCTGTCTCCCTCTTCTTCCCGCCACACAGGGGCCCAGGAGGCCTTTAGAAATGTGAGAGCCATGTTAGCATCCTCCCCAGACAACTTCTCCACAGAGGCTCTTAGGGTTCCTCTGGCTGATCTGGCCCATCTGCAGGGTGATCTCTGGCCCTGTCTCTATGTGGAGGCACAGCAGGGCCCTTGTCCTGAGTGTGAGAGCCAGCAGTAGGTTATATATTCAGCTATCTTGTGACTGAATTAGGGCCAGGACCAGCTTCCTCCCCTCTCCACAGTTAGTACTTTGTGTCTTCTAGGAGCTGACACCCGCACAGCCAGGATCTCAGATGCTGGGCCTGTTTTGGCAGACACACTCAGGAAATTCTTATTTGATCTGGATGTTGATGATGGCCTATCTGCCATTGGTTACTGCAAATCTGATATCCCTGCACTGGTGAAAGGAACACTGCCCCAGGTAAGAAATACAGTGTCTTCACTCCTTTCTAAGAAGCACAAAGCTGCTTCTTTTAGGGTGTGTTGGGAGAAATGAATACCCAGGGTGCAGGCAGGGGCTATGGACCTTGCTGTCTGTGTCTTCAGATAACAACTTCCTAGTCTCCAGAGGGATGGAGTCAGCTCTCCCTTACCTTTATATTTGTCCACAAAACCATGACTATATGTGACTTTTATGATGTAATTGAAACAATTCTTGATAAAAATGTAAGCAAATAATCAAATGTATATTAAGGCACATTATCCCTTTTTTCCATTTTTGCTCCTTTGAGAAATATGTGAAGCTATTCCAAAAGGGCCACTAATATTATTTTCCATTATGCTGATATAAATTCCTACTCTTTTGTGAAAATAGATATGGCCTTTAAATAATACAAAATCACTTTTTAACATATTTGGAAGATTATTTATTTGAAAAATATGCATATGTAAATATACATATCTGTTTCACTTGAATCTTATTTTATTTATTTAAATGTTGCTGAAGAATTTAAACTGAGCTGCCATTCTTGATTTGGTAAAGCATAATGGATGTATAATTTCCCCTCACAGGTCCTCAGGAAGAAGGTTTATTTCCCATTGAACCTCTCTTCCATTTAGGATCAACAACTCTTACACCAGAACCTTAGAGATTAATAGGCCAAGACCTTGCTACTTGCAACTCACCATAAAATGAAGAGCTAGCTCAGAGTTATGGGCACTTAGTTTGTGGATTACACCATGCTCAACATTCCCAGGTTACATAGTTCTCCTGTCCAAAATGACAAGAGTCCCTTAAATAATACCCAAAGTTCAGGCTTTTGTGGATCTAGCCCTGATAATGGAACAGAGCTAATAATGTAGCCGAGCCCTAGCCTAATCCACAAATCCTTAGCTCTAGCCCATAAATTCAAAGAATTAAAAAAAAAAATCAGTGCTCTCAGAATGACTATTACAGTCATTTTATGTAAACCTACCCTGTCTGTTTTGCTCATTCATCCTCTGTTGCACCCAACACAAAGTGTACAAACAATTGTAGACCTCTCCTGAATCTGTTGTCTAGGTGAACTTTATCCCTGAATGGTGGTAACTTTTTGGGAAGTTTCCTTAGACTTAATAGAACCCAACCAATGACAATGATCCATGAAATTCTATCCAGGGAACAGAGAGCATGTAGTCACCACACATTCATTGTAGCTTGTGGTTCTTGTAGGCAGTGTAATAAGATTGCCTATTCTGTAAGGGTCTTCTGACAAGTTTTGCTGGTTCAGCCCTGGAAAGTATTAAGGAATGTGTGTTTGCCAGCCTCCCTAAAAATGCTATCTATGGTTTTCCGATTAAATTGTATGATATTTTTGGCCATATCTTTGAGGGTGGCCATACATCATCCAGCCATCACACATTGGCAAGTGTTTAGTGTTTTAATGCTACTGTGCTCAGACTTTCTTTTTCAAAAACTGTTCCAGACATCAACAGATCCAAATTAACATCTGAGACCATCCACTGAAATAGAAAGTTAATTAGGTATCATCCTGAATGTCTCAGTACCCATGTCATACTAGGAAATCACAGATAGCAAAATCTTAATTAGACAAAACTAATCTTTTCATTTCATGCAAGATACAAGATGTAAGGTAAACTAAATCTTTTCAATGTAAGTCAAGCCTATACATGAGAAAACCAGGATTTCCTCAAGCTCTGAAAGCAGTCCCAACATGTATGCTGCCTTTTTCTTCTTTGATCATATTTTTGTGATTAGGGAAAACATAGTCATTACTTTAGTTAACTAGCACTAATTCCATTTTGAAGTCCATTTTGTGGGGATAAAGAAGGGTGGGGGGCAGAAAAAGAGATTCATAGAACTTTAGAATCTTAGAAATAAGCTTGTCTGTTTTGTAGATAAAGAACAACTATGAGGTTTTTTGTTTATTGTGTTTTTTTTTCTTTTTTAGCAGCAGTAAATATTTTACAGAAATGCTATGGCAACTACAGAATTTTTTACATGCAACAGACTAATCTTCACTTATTTGTATCCACAGGGTTTAAGGTAGTAAGAGGGATATATAGTTTCCTGAAGAGAACATTGCCAGAAAGCTTATTTTATGTAATCAAGATTTGATAAAGCATCTTTTATATTCAGCAGTGAGAGATCATTTTTTTTTTTTTTCTGGAAGGAACAACCAGGCCTGTATTCTTGACCAAATACCGCCACCCATACTAGTGACAGCAAATAGCAGCCCTGTGTACAGAGGCAGCCAACTGCCATAACCAGGCAGGAAGAGGAACAGGCAAGAATAAATTAATCTTCCAAGCTGGATTTCTGAAACCTCTGGAAAGAAACATTTACATTTCAAATCAAAACATTTCATTACTGAGGGGAGCTGTCTACCAAAATGAGGGCTTCCACTCCCTCGCAGACAGGCCAGCTGAAATGTTATTTTATGAATGTGCTAAAAGTAGTAGTACGAATTTATTTCAGTGCCCATGTTAATCAGTTGTCCTTCAGTCTTACATGTCTATAAATAATAGCACATTGCTGAACACCTTAATTCTGAGAGGTTAGTTTTTATATGGCATAGATGATATGTGTGGAGATATATCACAGGCAGCACATCCTTGCCCCTGTTTAACCAATCCTTAAGGGTTATAAATGTGAAAGAAAAACCTAGCTCAGATTGGCCTGAAGTACTTCTGAACATTCCAAACTACTTCACCAAAGATAAACAGGATCATTCTAAGGTCTTTGAACTCATCAAATAAGATTCTTATCCTAAGATATACATTATAAACAGAATAAGGTGGCAGTAATCTATGGCCATAGCAAAAGCTGAACTTCAGTTCTTGATCCTCCCACAAACATGATGTCTACATTCAGCAGAGAGAGATCAGTTTTTTTCTGGAACAGACAACCAGGTCTGATTCTCCTTTTTTTTTTTAAAGATTTATTTATTTATGTATACAGAACTGGGGTACAGGCCAGAGGTGCAGGGGTGGTGAAAGCCTTTACCAGAGACAGATTGGGGAGCAGAACAGGCAGATAGACCAAGTACACTGCTGAGGGGAGCAGCAGGCAGGTCAGGAGAGGTCTGCCACGCCATGTAGATCACCTCCAGGGCGGGAAGGGATCTAACTCATGCTTAAATGGCTTTAGCTTCTTAGTGCTGTGCTTTAACCCACTGCGCCACCAGGGAGGGCCTTCTCCTTTTTTTTTTTTTTTTTTTTAATAATCACTCCTTTATTGTAAGATTTTTTTTTTCATAGAAGAACTGGTATGTAGGCCAGAAGTGCAGGAAGTGAGAGGATTCACTAGAGACAGTGTGGGGAACAGAACAGGCAGATCCACTGAAATACTCTGCTGAGGGGAGCACCAGGCAAAACCAGAGGGATCTGCTATGCCATATGGGTTAGCTCCCTGGCCAGGGATTGAACTCAGGCTGCTTTGCCATGGTAGGAATCTAGCAGTGGTAGCCCAGAGACTTAACCCCTAAGCCTGGGAGGCCTCAGGCCTATATTCTTGACCAAACACCATGAACAGTGTCTGTCATGTTGGAAGATTTTCTCTTTCTTTTTAGTTAAGTACCATTGTTTTACATCTTTGACTGTCTAGGATTCTTCCCTCAGGTGTGTGCCCATCACAAATACCCATAGTCCTCCATCATGGCCCATTTTGTTCTTAGTATGGTTTTTCAAAATTCTATGAGGTTTCTGAAAGGTCTGCCTGGATATAAAAATTTACCTAGGCTCCCCCTGTGCAAATTAGCTTTGTCCCCATCTTTCTCCCAATCTGTCCATCCATCCTTCCTTTTGTTAAAGTTTATTTTCAAATACTGATACCCATATTTAAATGTATAATTCAGTGCCATTAAGTATACTTATAGTGTTGTATAAATGTCACCACTAGCCACTTCCAGAACTTTTTAATCATTCCAAATGGAAACTCTGCTCTGTTGCTTAAAGGTAAACAATAACTCCACATGTGCCCTTCCCCAAGCCCCCGACAGATTCTGTTCTGCTTTCTATCTCTATGAAGTTGTCTATTCTGGCACCTCATATAAGTGGAATGACATGATATTTGTCCTTTTGTGTTTCACTTAGCATAATATTGATCTTAAGTGTCAGAATTTCATTCCTTTTTATGGCTGCCTAGAATTCCATTGAATGGATGTGCCACATTGCTGACATCTATTGGTGTTTAACATTCATCTATTGATGAATACTTGTGTTGTTTCCACCTTTTGCTACTATGAATAGTATTGCAATGAACATTGGTATACAAGTATCTGTTTTAGTCCTTGATTTTAATCCATTTAGGTCTACACCCAGGAATGGCTTATATAATAATTCTATGTTTAATTTTTTGTGGAATTGCTAACCTACTTTCTACATCATTTTATTTTCCTATCAATAATGTATGATGAGTGTTTTAATTTCTCCACATCTTCACCATGTGATTTTCCTTTTTATTTATTTATTTATTTATTTGATCACTGTTCTACTGAATAGGAAGTGAGAACTTACTGTGGTTTTGACTGACATTTACCTAGTGACTAATGATGTTGAACATTTTTTCATGTGCTTATTGGATTTTTCTATATTTTCTTTAGAGAAATGTCTTTCCAAGTCACTTGCCTATTTTTGAGCTATATCATTTGGGGGTTTTTATTGTTGTTGAGTTGTAATAAATAATGTGCAGAGAACTCCAGAGAGAGTATACAGAAAAGACCTCTGAATAATGATGGAGACAACCATGTAAAGACCTGGGAGAGTCATACTAAGTAGAATGAAAAGCTGCTGGGCAGGGTGAGGATTTGCATTTTTATGGGATAGAAAGGGGACCAAGGGGCTACGTAAAATGAACCTATGGGAGAAAAGTCAGAGCAGGATGAGAAGCAGGGTGTATCAAGTAGGTACTACAGGCCATGGTCCTCTTCTAATTGCAATGTAAGTCATCAGAGAACAATAAGTAAGGGGATTGCAAGATCAAATTTATACTGGGGGGAGAATTCTCTATGATTGTGGGGTAGAGAATGAACCCTAAGGGGTAAAAATGCAGCAAATATGGATATAGCCTCTTAAGAGTCATTGCAAGTAGGACAAGGTGTGATGGTGACGTAGACTAAGATTTATATGGGACAAAAGATGGTACCGGTCAGCTTTTTAATTCATTTTGGAGGTAAATCAGACAAACTTGTTAATGAATTGAATTTGTAAGGTGAGGGGAAAAGGAATCAAGGATGACTCCTAGGTTTTTGCCTTTGTGATTGGGCATCACTTCTAAAATAAGGAAAATAGGAAGAGAATCAGAGTGCTATCTTATATATGTGAATTTTGAGGTATCAGTATTCCCCCCACAACCACCCATCTTCATTAATTCAATAACTGATGAGCATCCGTGTCCTGTATGTTGAGCATTCTGGTAGATGCTGGCATAGAAAGTGAACTCAACCCTGTTCTCAGGGAGCTTCCTTGTCTACCAGCTATGCCCCCAAATTAATACTTATCATAAGAAACCAAACTAAGAGACCCAGGAAAATGGCATCTAAAATCTTTCCTATTATTGTTTAATCAGAAATTTGGACACAAGATGTTCATTATAATGACTATCTTTACTCCCCTATCCCAAAGGAATCAAGGAGTCACCTGTGAGAGCAAAGATAGTAGCAGTTGTCGGAGTGTGGCTGTTTTTGCTGACTCAACTCAATAATCATTGGTGAAATTAAGCAAATCACTGAATTCATTTGTAAATATAGAGATTAAAACCTCCGTTAATATTTAAAAAGCAACTGCCCATTGCCCATTGCCTGAAAGGTAATGTCCTAATGAAGTTCTTTTGAATATACCTTAAGTCCAAATTACAAAATGTACTATCTTTGAAGTCTTTGAAGTCAGGGACAAATTTGAAGTCAGGGATGACCTGGCTCTGTTTGCCTTGGCAGTGCAGGCAGTTCCTAGGCTGGGTTCTCACCAAAGAACCTGTTCAATATTGCTGACCAACACAAGCTGGCCATTGTAAGAGGTGTCTTTCCTGAGGTTGATTTGGTTTGTACATTTGGACAAAATGCTATTGCCAGGGTATAAAGCAAGAGCAATGGCTTTTGAATTCTTCACTAGAAAATGGTATCACTTGATATATTTCTGAATTGGAGACCATCTAGCTAATAAGAAACGTTAGTTATTAACAGTGACTTAAGTCACTGTTTCTTATAACCGAGCTAATTTACATAATCTGGTAGGTTTTACAAACTGTCTTTTCACATCCTGAGATCTTCTTTTGTTTACTGTTTTAGGAAAGAGTCACCAAGCTTGCACCACGTCCTCAGTCAGAAGAGGATTTGTCTGCTCTATTCGAAGCCTCAATGAAACTATACTAATTTTCATTTTCATTGAAAGCATAACCAAAAGCAATGGAGTTCTGAAAACAGAAGTTGATCTAACCAGAGCTTTGTCTGATCATCTCCACACATAATTTACCTGTTACTAGTTTGAATGTGATATAAACTTACCCTGCAAAAGATCTCTTATGTCAGTCAAGTGATTCCACAAAACAGACTAGATAAATGTCCATTATGTCATATCCTATGCCAGACTTCAGGGGTCCAGGTTCTTGCCCCAAAACCCACCACTGCCCGCACTCCAGGTGTAGCTATCAAAAATGTTAATAATGTTATATACTCATCCTACACCAACTGATCCCATGTTTAGAAATTATCCTACAGAAATGCTGGCATAAGCATGTAAGGAAATATGGCAGGGATGTTTCTGGCAGCACTTAATAATAAAAGTATTTGATAGTACTTAAATGTTCATTAAAAGTATATAGATTAAATAATTCATATTAATAACATTAAATCATGGAATGCTATATCACTGTCAATAACTGTTAAGTCGGGAAAAGGTAAGTTGTAAGCAATTTTATATTAGTATGGTCTGACTGTTACCTTTTAAATTATATATAGGTTTGTTTATATATATATGTATATATATATAATGATACACATCAAAATATTAGAAGTTATCATTATAGAAATGGAATTTTGGATATAGAAATTCAGAGAAAGTGTTGATTTTTTACTTTTATCTTATGTCTGTATTATTTGGATTTATTACAACAGCATATGTTTTCTCATTTTATAAAAGGTCAAGAAATAAGAAAAATATCACATTAGGTCAGATTCATCTTATCTTATAAAAATATTAGCAACTAATATTTAAAAAGGAAAAATAAATCCAAAAAATAATATTAGAAATATTATTAGATTAGAAACCAATCACCCTGTGAATAAATTACTGATAAAAACACTAACATCCTAGTGGTAATTCTCTCTTTGGAAAAAAGAAAAATAGTTCTAGGTCTCAGAATAAATCAGTTATAAAAGTAAAAGTTTTACATTTCACAGACTTCACCCTTCCAGTAGGGTCATCTGATTTCAGCCCGCTATGGCAAAAACTTTTACGACTCAGTTTTCCTCACAAAGGTTAACATAATGTTTGTCTGCTCAAGTTTTGACAATCTAGGTCTCAATGTGCTTGCAGATTTACTCATATTTTAAGTTAAATTAAAGTTGTAATCAAATAAGTAATGTGTAGAAAATGACATCAGGGTTTTAAAAAAATGGGTGAGAAGTTCAATACTACGGCATTCCAATTGCCACTTTATCTGAAAGGTCCTTATTTCCTTGAGATTTAAAAATAGTATTTGTATATTTATTAGGAATGTTCTCAAGCTATAAACATAAAATATGTTAAGTACCCAAAACTGCCATTATGAAGATAAACACAACAGAAAAAAATTGTTCATATCACACCACCTGGAAGATACCACTGTTTAAAATTTAGTACATGTTCTTCCAGTAAAGAGGAGTGTGTGTGTGTGTGTGCATTTTTTTATTTTAAAATGGTATCAGTAAGGTATATTTTTAATTCCTATGTAACATTCAAATTCTTTGAGTACTCAAAAGATAAGTATAAGACAGCACTAAAAGAACTTCAGCAATACCTTGCAATCTGTACCTATCTAAAATTCCCTCCTGCTTTTCAGAAGGACCAGAGATTTTGTGAGCAAAAGCTATATGAATGAAGCAGAAAACACTAATCTCTGCAGATCTGAGATCTTTTAGAAAACTTTAGTAAAAGTTGCCAATCGATATCTCCCTATGTATTTTGCATAGGGAAAACATATGTGCTCCTCCCCCACCAGGTAAGTTCTAGAACTCTTATAATACATCCTGCAAGGTGATACAGCATTAGACTAGGGTCATGCTCCAGTCCCTTGGTCTAACTGAATCTTACATTATTCAGCCAAGGCCCTCTTCCAGCTTGAAAATGCTATGATTAGATTTTATGTATTTGCACTTGTGTAATTTAATATAAAACAATTTGAGATAGAAAAAATATTCTCTATCTCTTAAATGTTCATTGCCTTTCTTACAGAAGCCAAATGTCTAAATGTGACTCATCAGGAAGAGTGCTTGGTGTTCATACTGTTGATGACTCTACTAGAGAATTATTTTTTTTTAATTTTATTAGAGGAAGGATTTAAAGGTCAAGCATAAAGAAATAGATTTAAGAAGTTCTCATGTTTTACCCTAATTATCAAACATTTTGGTCCTTACAATTTGAAACTATGGAGAAAACGTGGTTCCTGACTTACTAGCTTTTTAAAGAGAGATGGGAAATTAAGCTAATTTCTGAAAACCAAGAGCTCATGTTTCTGAGACAAAAATTAAGTACATTTTCCAAATCAAATTCTATTTTTTGAGCAATTTCCTTTAAAAGAAAAAAATTCTGGGCCCTCCCTGGTGGCGCAGCGGGTTAAAGCACAGCACAAAGAAGCTTAAGCCACTTCCGCATGAGTTCAATCCCCACCTGCCCTGGTGGAGATCCACATGGCGAGGCAGACCTCTCCTGACAGGCCCGTCGCTCCCCTCAGCAGTGTACCTCGCCGATCTGCCTGTTCTGTACCCCACTCTGTCTCTGGTGAATCCTCTCACCCTCCGCATCTCTGGCCTGTACCCCAGTTCTGTACGAATAAATAAGTCTTTAAAAAAAAAGATTAAAAAATTCTTAGGAATCAGATTGATTTACTTCCTAAGTCAAAAAATAAATAAATAAAAACATATATGGTGGCATATCCTTAATTTACTTCATGATACAAAATACCAATTTGTTTGAAATAGGTCATGTTTCCATGTTTTTTGTTAGGTGCAAAAATATAATTCCTTTTCCATTACTATCTCTTATCCAAGGGCAGGAAAGGCTGGACTTGGCATTGTTTGCATAGCTGTGGATACAGTTGTGGAGGTTTTACAGGGGGCATTGAAGGAAGTCTGCTTTGTAAAATAGCAAATATATAAGTGTGTGTTCATATGCATGTATGTATATACCCACACACATATACATATTTACCCACATATATATAGAGAGAGAATGTGTGTGCAAAAATTGCTTTTCTAGCCTTTTAACCCTGACAAAGATTAATGGTTGTTTGTATAAGAAACTGTACTCTAATGAGGAACTATTGCCTCCAGGGAGTGTGTATGAGACAGGGGGCTGTTCACCTCCAGGTCAACAGCGCAAAGGCTGTCCTGTCTCTAATGACCAGCAACCCCACGCTGAGACAGCTGCCCAGGTCTGCTGGGAGCAGTTGAGGAGGGCAGGCCACTTCCCAGCCATCACCATCACAATGGCCTGCAGGAGACAGTCTCAAAGGACTAGCCACACTTTGAATGGGTGGAAATTGGTTCTTGAAGCCCTAGTTGAATTACTGGCAGCTGGGGGTGGGAGGGTCCCATTTCTCAAGCTTTTATTCCACTGTCTTTCCAACCTCCCCAGGCAGTGCAGTCCCCCCACAAATTTGGATAATGGTGATTTTTGTCCCATATGAAATCCCTCATGGAGCTGTGTGCAGAGCAGTTAATTTTAACGGAACTCCATTCCTTTCTGGCTTTAACTACTGGCTTTTAAATATGGATGTTTTTAATTGCTTTCCCAATTCATAAAATTGGAAACTGATTTAAAAAATCATAAACAAAAAGGAGAAGAAGCTATCGTCATGCCACTGTCCAAACACAGCTGTTACCATTTGATGTATTTCCTTTCAATGTTTTCCATTTGGGTGTTGTAGTCTTGTGCAAGTACCTTTAAGGTATGACATTTTAAGTATTATGTTGTCACTTAATCTTTATAACCATAATATTCAGGGGAACAAAATAGCTTACTGATCTGGAATTTAATAAGTTATCTTTACTATGGGACATCAAGATTATGTCCAAATTTTTACTCCTACCAATAACAGAATCAATAAATGAATAATGTGTATGTTGCTCTTTTCATGTTCTAAATGAATTTGTTAGGTTAGTTCCCAATTGAATTTTTACATTAAAATATGGACTTTTTTAACTCTTAATTCATAATCTCATATCTTATATAGTTCATAACTGTTTTAAGCAATCTTAAAACAGTCTTCAATCTTACTTCTCTTCAAAATAAATAGGAGTGCTGAGCAACAAAAAAATAAGACAAAATTCACATGGATGGACCAGGCTATATTGTTTGTGCAAAGCTGTCAACTTCAACTTGCCTGGTCTCTTTTGCCCCTTTCACATCATTCCCTGCCAGAAGATGCCTTAGACTTGTGGCAAGATTTCAGGCCTCAGCAGCCCTGCTTTGGGCCAAACCTCTTTGGCTGGGCATTTATCTGCGAGGGGCTGGGTAGCTGGGTGTTTTGTTCAGAACATCCTTACTGCTCTATCTTGCACATCAATTCTATTAAACATCTTCCACTTTGCCTTTGTGCATATCAATGGCCAGGCCCCTTTAGGATGTGCAAGTTAGTGATTGCCAGGGTGTTCTTTGGTCACATGTTTACAGTTGTTTTAAAGTTATTTATATGTATCAGACTTTATGTGATGCTTTTGCTAAACACAACACTAAACCAAGGCCTTTTGCAGCTGAAAGAAATATTATTTTAAAACCAAATCAGGGAAAGCTTCATGAATAATGTGACTCCTGGGTTGAATGTTGAAGGAAAGCTAGGGTTAGACGGGAGGTAAGACTTCTGGGTGACATCCAGGGAGGATGAACAACATGAAGGAAAGCACAGATTAAAAATGCTTGTATGGCCCTCCCTGGTGGCGCAGCGGGTTAAAGCACTGCACTGAGAAGCTTAAGCCACTTCCACAATGAGTTCGATTCCTGCCTGCCCCGGAGGAGTCCACATGGCGCGGCAGACCTCTCCTGACCCGCCCACTGCTCCCCTCAGCAGTGTACTTTGTCGATCTGCCTGTTCTGCTCCCCACTCTGTCTCTGGTAACTCCTCTCACCCTCCACATCTCTGGCCTGTACCCCAGTTCTATATGAATAAATAAATAAATCTTTTAAAAAAAAATGCTTGTATGCAAAGAGTTTTCAACTCATCAGTGTTTCTGGAGTGTCAAGTCACATTGAGGATGGAGAAGTCAGTATGGGCCAAGCCTGGTGCCTTATTGGAATCTATCCAGAAACATACTGGAAAAGCATCAGGGTCAGTTGGAGAGTCAGAGACATTTGTGTGTTGTCAATTGGTCACTTAGACAAGAAATTAGTTTAAGTAGTAATTGATCAAGTATTTGTGATAGAATAGTGAAAAAGGTAAGTATAAATAAACTAATATTTCATAGTTCTCTATATCTTTTTTTGCATTATTTATTTTGTGATAACTATAGATTTGTAAGAGAAACATGCATCTCAATGCCCCACTTCCCTGACTCCTTAAACAGGAACAACTGGGAAACTAAGGGCCAAGCAGAGCCAAGGATAGACTTTACAAGACAGAGCTGGCTGTTGTTTGAGGGTGTCTCCCACTTCTGCTCCTTACTGGGTTTGACTGACTCTCTGCAGGAGACTCCTGCTTCTGCTTAGACCCCACCAGAAGCCCTTCAGCTGGGACGTTTCTGTAGCTCCTCTTCCAGTTTCAGCGCTTTGACAAGGATGATCTCCTCAAGGGAGGAGGGTAGCTACCATCCTGACCTCTTGGATTCAGTTTT